TAAGCTGGGCACTGGTTCGACGGACGTTCGACGCAGCATCGACGCACGAGTGGAGCGAGAGGCTTCAGGAAGGTCCCCAGAACGAGCATCCATCGGTGTCACACCGACATACATATATACCGTAGCACCCCGCAATTGCGGATAAGAGTGAGGGGGTGGGCGCGGGCGACGCGGGCGTCGAGCCAGCGGACCTCGTGGCCCTCGCCTTCCCTGTCGATGGCGCCCTCCTCCTCCTCCACCTCCTCCTCTTCCTCGTTTTCCCCCTCCTCCTCCTCCTCCTCCTCTCCCTCCTCCTCCTCCTCCTCCTCCTCCTCCTCTTCCTCCCCCATCCCGATCCTCCCCCCTCCTCCTTTCCGTCGTCGTCCTCCTCCTCCTCCTCCTTCTCCTCCTCCTCCTCCTCTCCCTCCTCCTCCCTCCTTTCTCGTCGTCCCCCTCCGTCCCCCCCTCCTTTTCCTCCTCGCCCTCGTCCTCGGCCTCCGAAGCTTTGGCTTGTTCAGTGAACGTAGTTTGGGTCGCGGGCGGATCGCGGGCTCTCCACCTCCACCTGGAAGATATTCAAAAACAGCCCGCCGCAGGCGCCGAAAATTTGGATTTGTACACTGAACGCGGTTTGGGTCGCGGGTGGATCGCAGGTTCTCCACCTGCAGCGAATGCAAAAGAAGCCCGCCGCAGGCGCTAAAAATTTTGGGTGGGTCGCGAGGTGGGTCGCGGGTGTGTCGCGTGTGGGTCGCGGTGGGTCTTGGGTGGGTCGCGGGTGGGTCGCGGGTGGGTCGCGGGGTGGGTCGCGGGCGGGTCTCGGGGTGGGTCGCCGGTGGGTCTCGGGGTGGGTCGCCGACAGAAACCCGCCGCAGGCGCCTAAGTTTTGGCTTGTTCAGTGAACGTAGTGTGGGTCGCGGATGGGTCACGGGCTCTGCACCTCCAACTGGGAGGAAGTCAAAAACAGCCCGCCGCAGTCGCCGAACATCTTAATTTGTACACTGAACGCGGTTTGGGTCGCGGGTGGGTCGCAGGTTCTCCACCTGGAACGACTGCAAAAGAAACCCGCCGCAGGCGCCGAAAATTTTGGGTGGGTCGCGGGGTGGGTCGCGGGTGGGTCGCGGGTGGGTCGCGGTGGGTCGCGGGTGGGTCGCGGGTGGGCGCGGGTGGGTCGCGGGTGGGTCGCGGGTGGGTCGCGGGTGGGTCGCGGGTGGGTCGCCGGGGGGGTCTCGGGGTGGGTCGCGGGGGTCGCGGGGTGGGTCGCGGGTGGGTCGCGGGTGGGTCGCGGGTGGGTCGCGGGTGGGTCGCGGGTGGGTCGTCGCGGGTGGGTCGCGGGTGGGTCGCGGGGCGGGTCGCGGGTGGGACGACGACAACAACAAACAACAAACAAGACGCAACAAGCAACAACCAACAGCAACCACCATCACAACAACAACAGCAACAGCAACCGCAACAGCAACAGCAACAGCAACAGCACCAACAACAATAACAATAACACCAACAATAACAATGACAATAACAATACCAACAACAATAAGAAGCTGCATCGCGAAATTCCGCTTGAGCCACGCACCCAGGGACAGTGAATGACCATTCGGTTCAGCCCCCGCACTCATATATATATATATATATATATATTTATATATGTACACCCATATATATATACACATAATATATATATATATATATATATATATATATGTATAACCAGCTTTCCCGGGCCTGGGGGGTGGGCAGGCCCATTCCCCCATGGGGGTGCCGGGGCTCCCAGCGGGGCGGGGAGGAGGAGGAGGAGGAGGAGGAGGAGGAGGAGGAGGAGGAGGAGGAGGAGGAGGAGAAGGAGACCGAGGAGGAGGAGGGGGACGACGACGAGGACGACGATGAGGACGAGGATGGAGACGAGGACGAACGCGAAAAGGGAGAAAGAGGTTAGAACCTGAGCGCGCGCGAAGCGCACGTGGTTCTAGTACTCATACTATGTGTGCGTCGCCCCTCCAGGGGCTACGCGCGCGCGAAGAAATCTTATCCAAGCCCCGTGGCGGGCGCTTTCTGACCATATCGCTCGGGGAACGATAAACTACAATATGGCCATACTATATGTTCGGGTCGGGCGCACGCCTCCAAGGAGTAGTTACATGCAGCACTAGTATGTTCTTGTGTGCCAGAATCCAGGGAAAGTGCGCGCCAAGTCCGAGCGCCACGTCAGGGTTTCCGAATATCAGGGGCAACGATATGGGGCAATAAGCATACGTAGGGGGGGATGCATCGACCCCCAATCGCCCATCGATCGCCGATAGGGGCCCAATAGCCCCAAACTGCCCAGGAGCGTGCGGATTCACTATCGGGGGCCTATCGCCGATTTTTCGGCGATGTATCACCAATTCCAGGGCGATGCGTCCCCCCCATGCCAGTCCCCCCCGACCGCTGCATCTCAGACGAGCATCCAGCTGGGAAGCGCGATGAGGAGGCGCTGGGGGGAAGGGGAGGAGTCGCAAGGAGGAGGAGAAGGAGGAGGAGGAGGCGG